GAACAACATGTACGTTTGTTTCTTGGCGCCATGGGCGCACAATTTGTGTTTATGAATGACAACGCCCGTCCTCACCGTGCAAACATCGCAAGCGAATGCCTTCAATCGGAGGATATCACTCGTATGGAGTGGCCAGCATTCTCACCGGACTTGAATCCAGTAGAGCACGTGTGGGACATGCTTGGCTGACGTGTTGCAGCCCGTCAACCTCCTTCTACATGTCTACCGGAACTTCGGAGAGCATTGCTTTTTGAGTGGTGTAATATCCCCCAAGATCAGATCGATAATTTGATACTCAGCATGCCTAGGCGTTGTACGGACTGTATTGCATCGTCTGGGAGACGTACAATGTATTAAGAATCATACCAACCATGTAATATTGGTTTTTGTAAATAGGTTTTTTTTTTTTTTTTTTTTTTTTTTTTTTTTTTTTTGTAATTTGCTCCAGGGAGAAAAATTCGCTAATTTTTTTAATAGTATCAAATATATAGCATCTTTTTTTGCTCCTTACCTTTTGTTTAATAAATAAGCTTTACAAATAAGTCAAATTTGTCTTGCTTCTAAGTCCTCCTTTGCCTGATTTTGCATTATCCTTAATTTATGGACATGAGTGTAATTGGCTGGATATCTCGTTTCCCCCTTGGAATTGTAAAATTTGTAGTTAATTCGTTTGTATGTTTTTAATTTTATTTTTATTTCAATTAGGTGAAAGATAATACAAGTGCTAAAACCTTTTAAGAAAACTCTCAAAGTAATTTGGATGAATTTGTACCAGATGTAAATTGGTATAATAATGTTCAGATACATAGCCAATAAAAGTTAATAGAGAAAGCTTTAACATTTATCATACATTTTAAAGGTTCATCATTTTTCCCTATGGTTAAGCCATTATTTAGCCTTAAGGGGTATTTCTTTCCTAAAAACAGACAGAATGAACTTAGTGAAAATATGTTGATGACTTTTTATTTATATTTCACCATATACAGTGTTTCTGAACTCTTTTTTTTTTTTTTTTTTTTTTTTCAAAGGTGCTAACACAAAATCCTTTCTTCCAAAAAATTTGCATAAAAAATAAGTAATTAAAACCTCTTCTTTGCTTTTCTCGCCTTCTTCCGATAGACATTTGCTGCTTTTTACTTCGCTGTACGTTATGAAGTGAAAGGAAGTATTATAATCGTATGGAAAATTTCAACTACCATATTTCATCGGATGTATCCCTTTGACAGTTCCCGAATACCACTGGACGATTATTTTACGTAACGACTGAAATCGTTCTGAACGTATGTGGCAACAAGGATAAAATATACGTAGATGCAAATGAAACCCAGACTATGGAATGTTATTGCAAATATCATCAATAGAGCTAGACTGCGACAGCTTGTGTAAAAATTTGCAAGCACGCTCTTATAACCAAATATAATGCATGATTAGGTGACAGGTTAGGTTAGGTTTATTAGATTACGGAAAAGCAAAAGGGCTATCTGCCTTAAGGGAGGGATGCCTTCGTGGACAAGGAGTTTAGAATAGAAGGAGGGAAGGTTCAACTCAAACGGTGAAGCTTGGCGGCCATCTTCCTGTTACCACCGTGACTTGTGCAAGGAAGTCTGTCATTGCAACATTTTGAAGCATGTCAGCTTGTATTGCATATGGATGCATAAATAGATTCTCGAAAAAAATTCCGGGCATTATTTTTCACACGTAAGTATTGAATTTTCTTTTTTTTTATGTAATACGACAACTATGTCAAAAAATATCACAATGTCATGTTGTTTTCTTTCCAGATGTGAAAAAAAGGACTTAAAATGGGACTTAAATAATCAAAATAGGTTACGTAATATAACTATAATCAAAATATGTTAAATACATTTCAATGTTTCTGTTTATAGCTGGTATCTTCGTTACCTTAAGATACAATGCTATATGGTAGGATTTAAATTGTTAATTTGAACGTTTTAGTTAATTCGTTTTATAACTTTCATGAAAACTAAGAAATCAATTGTTACTATTTTTATTAATTGTAAAGGTGTTAAATAAAGCAATGCTTTTCTTTATATATTAATTATAATTCATTTTTTAAATTTAAAGATAAACTGTTCTGTGTTAAAAATTTTTTGTATAAACTTACAAATTTCTGAGCAGTATAGTGATAAAATTAAGTAAAAATATTACACAATTGAACATGTGGGAAGATGTATCCAAAAACTTATATAGGTGTATTTCTGTAATTCAAACTTAATTAAAGGCAGTTTCTTTGAGATTAATAAATATAAAATGCGCATAAACTGAAATCAATGAATTCTGTTTTATTTTATTAAGATTTATTTTCTAACCTAAGCGAATCCGTGAAATATGCCAGAAACATCATTTTTAAAGGCTTTAATGTTATGCGCATGCATTGAGACTTTCCGAACTATTTCTTAATGATTTTCTGTACGTAGTAAATTACGGATATCATCTTTTTGTAACTTTAAAACAAAAAAATTCAACAATAGGCAAAGGGCATTTCATTATATATTTAACATATTTTTCCTGGAATATATATGCACGGGAACAGTTTAGAAACACGTACAGTGTTCACTGCCGTAATGCAATGTTTTGAAGTTGCACAAACATGGACGCCGCTTGTTCGGCGGAGTTTCATTCCCCGATAGTGGAGGAAACTGCGAACCCTCCCTCCTTCTATTCTAACCTCCTTGTTCGTAGAGGACTTTTTAAGGGAAACTGGCTCGTATACACGTTACACATGGGAAAAACCACGAAAACACCCATGCAGCCAGCCCGTTCGCGGATTCGAACCTCAGACCAAACTACCAGCGTTCAGCGACTTTACCGCTCGGCCGCTGGTGGGCCTGGTTAGATGACATCTGAAGTAGAGTTAATGCTATTAATGATTCAATTGCATGAAATTTGTGTTAATTTTTTAATAAAATATGCACTTTTTATTGTCTTTACATAAAGTACCTATGTGATCTACTTTAAATGTATAGACACAATAAAGGACTCTTTTTGCCAAAAGGGATTTATAGAACGGATTTAAAATGGATTCAAAAGGGATTATTTTCGTAAAGTCTGCACAAATGTACACTGTGGCGGAAAAAAAATTGCAGTTCTATATTTCCCGTTCTACTGGGCCGATTGACAAAATTCAAATTGCGTTTTTTCATGTCTCGAAGATATATATTAGATTTATATATAGAATTGTTATAATACAGGTATTTTGGCATAAAATAGGACTTTTTCTTAAATAACATGCCAATATTTTGTCATATTTCGATTCTACGACTCAAATTATGCCAAACTGCCAAGTTTCCTAATCGCACGTGTAGTTTTTTTAAAAAAATAGCACTCAAAATTTTAGCTCTCAATGTTAATTGAATTTGATATATATTTATTAAACTTACTTAATTCCTTCTTTCAGAACTCGAAATTTAGGCTTAATCCAAATAAAATTCGCACATTTTTTATGATTTATTTTTAAAGTTTATATTTTAAAATATTTTTAAAAAATTTTTCGGAAACATTTTTGTACGATAACCTATAAAATTTTTAATATCATCTTAGATGCATTTCTAGGCACACTAGCAAAAATTTAGAGTTTTTATTCAAAATTTTCTAAGATATACGTGAATTTACATACTGGCACGCTTTAAAATTTGGCATATTTGTTATAAGCGATAATAACGCCAAATGTGGTTTACGCACTGTTAAAATTATTTGAAAGTATGAACGTTGACTTTTTTCCGCTATTGTACAATGATAAAAAGGAAAAGAAAACTAGGTTGCTCTGAATTAAGAAGTTCGCCAAGTTGAATTATTCTTGGCGCTAACTGAAAAAAAGACGCCGGGATAAATTTTGTAATTTCTCCGTAAATTTCCCACCAAATTTTACAAAATTTAACATTTGGGCTTAATTGAGTCTTAAAATCGAAATATGGAAAACAAATTGGCATGTCATTTCAGAAAGAGTCCGATTTTGTGTGAAATACCTATTTTACAACAATGCTATATATAACTCTAATATATACCAGGCCCAGTAGAACGGGAGATATATACCTGTCTCATTTTTTTTTTCCGCCGTGTACATATGTATATATGTATGTATCGCGTATAATTCAAAAACGATTAAGCGTAGAAGGTTGAAATTTAGTATAAAGGACTTCTATAGCGCATCTATTTATGCACTTCCCTTTTTATTATAATCGACAGTCCTTATCCGGCCTTTATTTTTTCAATCGTTGATAGGTTGATAGTAGTCATGCATTTCCAATTACAGTGTTTTAAATGGCGAAAATATTTATGCCAAGAAAAATGCCAAGAAAATGAAATTTTGACAAATTATCAAACCTAACTTTTAATGCGAACTCCGAGTCGTATATTTATATTTGGGAAAGTTTCACACTCATTACGAAAAAATAAAATTATAAGAAGTTTAACTCGCGTACAACAAAATTTAATGATTTTGTTTAGTTCCAAAATTTGCAATTTTTGATGTAATTTTCAACTTGCCTTGAGAATCGGTTTATTAAGTTAGAAAAATTCGAGGAAATAAGTTTAAATAAGTTCATCCAAAAATGCGTACAATTGAGTAGGCTGTATAAGGAAGTAACTTGGTGTTCTCATCAGACTTTCTTCGAATTAAAACGATACTTATTATTCTTATATTATATTTCCTTATTTCTTTTAACATCGAGAATAATACTAATCCTTTTGTATTCATAAATAGTTATTTCGTCAAGTTTTTCAATTCAAGGTCTTTTTGGGAAGAAAAAATGCTCAAAGGTTGGGAAAATATTATTAAAGCATGCAATATGAATTAAATCAGGCTATAATTCAAATTCAAAGTGATCCATTACTATAATTTGTTTTTTAAATGAGATTTTAGAGTTTACTTTTTACAATGCAATTTCAGAATTTTTATTTTACTCAAAACGGTTTGTACTGTTGGAAAATCAGCGTCCTTCTCGTGGTTAGAGTTACATAAGACATAAACAAAATTCATGAAAATTGAGATGCAATATTTTATTCAGATAAAAGATATTGACACATGTGAAATAGCACAAAATCTTTACATGCAATGCCTGTACCGTGCACTAGTAAATTAATAATGCAGATGTGATAAATAAACAGTATCCTAGAACTATAAATCTGGATTTACTTTCCTACCAAAATTCGCATCTGTTTTTACGAACCATGGCCGAATCTGGTTTGCAGTTGAAATCTTTGGCAAACTCCGGTAGATTAGATAATGGTCCTATGATTCTGGAAAAGATGATCAATTTTAAGTAATTTTATGTGGATTATGACTTCAATTTCCTAAATAATTTCAGAGCCTTTTGTTCCATTTTGATTTGTCAAAGAAGATACACATTAATGTTTCAAATGATAATTCGTATTTTATTAACGAACTAATAATATTTTCTGATGAATATAACGTCACGGTATCCTCATCTAAGGAAAATACTTTCTATGCAAAGTAGATTCGTTAAGAGGTTTCTTACCTAAACTCATGTGGGCTATGTTTATCAGCAGACATGATATCCTCCAGAGTGCTCGGATCCATACGCGCACAAAACATCTGAAACAAATTAAATGTATTATTTCTACCACAGACTGGGTACAAAAAATCTGCATACCAGGAAATAAATAAATACAAATACAGTAAAACTTCCATTAGCCAAAGTAATTTAAACCGGGGGTAGTTCCGATAATCGAAAATTCGGGTAATTAATGTTTCCAAAAACTGACCTAATATTCTCATTTTGACAACAGTTTCTTTACTTTTATTATCTGCGAAAGAAAACTGAATTATTTGTACAATTACATTCGTTGTCCAATTAAGAAAGATAAAATATTTTTAAAAAAAGGGGGGTGGATGAAGACTGTGAGGCACTCTGTGAAGAGCGAGGACGCCAACGCCAAAGAAATGCATAGCAAAAACAGCAGAACGAACCACGGGAACGATTACGATTATTATATTGTACTGCAAAACGGATCACGCGGAACTTCCTGAATGGTTTAAAAATAAAACAAAACTCTTTAGAACAGATTTGTAAGATAAATGAGTATTCGTAAGTAAATGAGTATTTGTAAGATAAATGAGTATTCGTAAGTAAATGAGTAATTTGTAAGAATTCGAGGGCAATGGAAATTTGTAAGATAAAAATATAGTTTTTGTACTGTATTAATCCGAATAAAAACATTTAAAAAGCAGTTTATTTGGTGTTTGACGCCAAATAAGGTAAGAACCCACAATCATCGGTCACGCACGATAAAGACTAAGAAAAGTGAGACAAAAGAAAAATATTGCAAAAGCTTAATGGATTCCAAGGTTAATGGATTCGAGGGCAATGGAACTTTGAAGGGTTGAGATTATAATTTCGAAGATGCGAAATAAAACTCTATCTCATGTTAGCAAGCGCAGTGAATCACACAAGTCTTTATTTTCATACCAGTCCTTTGTAGCTGAAGTGTATAGCCAGCCTCGGAATGCGAAGATCGAGAAATGCGATTCTAACTTCTCCTTCTTTAACGCCATCACTTGCATTAGGGCTACTATACTTGTCGGTTTGCCACAACGCTTTCATCAATTAGATCGCTGGTTATAAGTTTTAACCAACAGCAGTACTAGTGTGTGGGGAAAGGGGAGATACAGCAAGTCAACGAAGCAATGTGAATAAATCACAAATGCTTTAAAATATCTCAACAATAGCCAAAGTCTGAAATACAACATATCTGAACAAACTAGAGATAACTCCATCGGTTAAAATACATAGTTGCCTGATTCAAAGCTCAATTTTATCATAATGCAATCCCAAAGGAACCTGCCCGTGATTATGCATTAAGCAATGAATCTTGCATCTCTGAGCAACGAATGGCCACGTGTGATGAACATCAATCATATCGTACGCAATTAAATACCCCACCAGCTCAAGTTCGGATGATATGATATGAGGGACGCAGCCCGACCGTCCTGGCAGACTTTACGTCGCCCTATGGCCTTTTTGCGGGCTGCGTCAGAGCAAGCCAGAAACGGCACCTTCAACAGACATAAAGAACATAACTAATAAACAAAATTCAGATTAAAATCCCTACTGCAAGCTTATTATGATTAATCTTCTCCATCATTTTCCTGGCAAATTTTTTTAGTCTTTTAAAATATCATATATATTGAAAACATCATTTTTCTTAAACTCGTTCCTGATGTCAGTAAAATATTTAAATGTTTCCACGTAATGCTCTTCAGTGCCCGGTTCTTTACAGATATCACAGAGGTCAGACTCTTGTAATTTAAACCTTTTAAAATAAAAAGGAAAACGGCCATGACCTGTAATGATTTGGTTAACGTCAATGTCTGAATAACATAAACCTCTTTTAAGTTTAACAAATTTCATATAACCTTTATTTCGATCAGACCTTTCCCACTCCTCCCTCCATTTATCATAAATATAATTTTTCATAACAGTCACAGCTTTCCTTGTTGATCCCTGTACATCAATATCACGAGCATTAACATCGGTAATTGCCTCCTTGGCCAGTGCGTCCACCCTCTCATTTCCGAAATGTCCAACGTGTGCTCTCACCCAATTAAACACAATATTTTGATCTTCTCTCAAGTCTTTATATAATTCTCTAATATCTACTATTAAAGGGTTGTCTTGATCAGGTCGTGAGGGAGCTTGAAAAACTATCAGAATAGCTTTGTATATCATATTTCCCTTTAAGAGTCTTCTTAATCCATTTCAGTGAATAAAAAATAGCCATAGCTTCCGCTTGATAAACTGAGTTATAAATATTGAGTTTAAATTTATTATTCTCAATCTCTGCTCCATAATAATATATAACATATGCTAAAGCAATGGCGTCTCCCAGACCTGACCCGTCTGTATAAATGTCAATTTCTTTTATTTTTGGAGCATCCAAATAATACGGAATAAAAATTCTTTCAGCAGGATGAATCAAATTTAAATCAAATTTTCAAAAGCACACCGTGTTACAATAGAATCTCCATATAATTTAAAATCTATATTTCCTGTTCTTAAACGAAATTTATCATAATAAAAAACAAATAGTTTGGAGAGAGGGGAGCTCAAGTCCGGATATAAGATTGGACAACTTGTGACATCATCAGGGGCAGACAACAGTAGCACCTTGACAGCAGAACGGCACCGTGGGCCCCCAGGAAGGCTTTCTTAAACTATACAGTTAATGTAAAGAGCCCTTACCTACATACTCAGTGGCAAAAAGAAGTTGGCTCCAGCACTTACCTAACCTTGCCAGCAGGTACTATTAGAACTTAGCAGGTTTCCCAAGATATTATTTATCTTGAATAGAAAAGAAATGTTCTTTATGCTTATGCAGTTAAAGTCAAAATTTTGAAAGCCAGGTAACCAATTTTGTGAAATATATCCAAGATACACACGTAAGACATAAATTATGCAAAATTTCATTAATGCTACGCACGATAAACAAGTACGTGAGCGAATAAATGACATAAGATACTTAGATACTAAAACTCTCTTGACACATTCCGTGAGCGCATATATAAACGCATGAATGCATTAATTATCCCTGCAGTTGTAAGGGTGCTGATCTAAATGCATAATACTCTAAATAACTTTTCTCTTTTTGATTAAATGCCGCGGTGAGTTGTAAACCTTGTATATACTGTGCTGGACTGTATGTCGATGTCAGCCCTATATCAGTGTCATTTCTGCAAACTAGTCCTACGCCGTGTCGATGATATTATGCTCTAGAAGAAGAGAAGAAGCCTTGATATTATTCTTGTAGACGTTGTGATAAAAAATATAAGACTTACGTTTGCTGAACTTATCCAGAACAACTGATTTGGAGTATATTTTAGTCCTGGCAGCTTTGGTTCACGTCCATGATGCTTTACCCAAGTCTGATAGGCCTACGAAAAAATAGACAATATGAAAGAAAATCAGTTAAATGCAGTGAAGCATCGATTATCCGAGCCCTGTCGTATCAGTTTAATTTATTTAAACAGAAAAAACAAAAAACATTAACAGCATTAAAAATAATGAAAGAAAATAAAACTAAATATTTACCTTTCTTAAAGTCTGACTTATAACTTAGTTACTTAGAAATTGGCAAATATATAAATTTGAAAAAGGTAACAGCTCTACTTATTTGGGAACGGAGATAAGTAATAAAAGTGTGTTGGCCCCAGAAATATATAAAAGAAGCATTGATGCAAATAGACGTGTTTATGCCCTGAAGAGTTATTTAAAATCCAGCTTTCTTAAATTAAGAACTAAATTGCTTCTTTACAAAAGTCTTATGAGTTCTGTCTTGACTTTTGCGTCAGACTTGAGCACTGACTTTATGTGAAGAGAAAGCTCTGGGAATTTTGAGGCGAAAGATCTTGCATTGCATTCTTGGTGGTGTCCAAGTGAGTGGATTATGAAGAAGGTCTAATTTAGAACTCTATAAAATTTGCAAACCTGATGTTGCAAAATTCATCAAATTACAGAAACTTGAATGGGCTGGCCATATGGCTAGAATGAATGAAGATCGTTGCTGCAAGAAAATCTTTCTGGCGAAGCCCATGGGAAATGAAACTGGGGGCAGACCCCCGTTAAGATGGATTGATTGTGTCGAAAAAGATCTTAATATTTTAAAGGTTGCCAAAAGCAGTTGCCAAGAGCAGAAATGCCTGGAGAAGGCGGGGCCCCACCCAGGGCTGTCGAGCCACTGAAGAAGAAAAATGAAACAGTTGTTCGGGTACTTTTTCCAGCTTTTCTGAAATAATAATAATTGCTCTGAACAATATTTTATGAGTTCATTGAAAAGTTCAAGGGAAAATATTTGTGCATAAATTTATAAAAGTGCCTTTCGGTTTTTATTTGCAATAAATTTTATTTACCGGCATTGAATGAATATCATATACATATCAGCGTAAGATTTAGAACTGGTAAAAAAAAACAAAAATGGTTAAATTATTAATTTGTGATTACATTCTAATGACTCAAAGAATAATTTGCAACTGAAAATTAAGAAAAAATTTTAAATATATATTAAAAACTGAATTTATAAGGTAAAACAAAAATTAAAGTAAAATAATGATTATTCTCAACTAGTTACGTAATACATGGCGTTAGAAACATTTTCTGTTAATCACACAAATCGAAAATGTTCATAAAAATCATCAGCTGAAAGTATTAGAAATTATATCAATTATATACATTATTACAGCCTGCAAAATGTAAATTTAAATTATTAAAACTCACATATCTTGCTGTTAAATCGCTGAATCAGTAAGAGAATGATTAAATATGAAAGTTAAATTCAAGATTTATGCTGGCTGCATCTCATTGTATTGTCATTCGAAGTTACGTGGAGGATAACTTAAATACCATTAGTTTCCCTAAGAAGTAGCATTTATCGACTGCTCTGCGTATTCTCGACAAAACATCAAATGCCTATATTGTTATTCTAGTCTGATTCCCATCAATTGATTAAAAGAATGTCATCAAAAATTGCTCAAATACTGAGTTTATTCATTAATTTGACTCTCGCCTCAGAGTGTGGTGTATAAGTGCACACCTCTAGTTAAATATTTTACTAAAAGCCTTTGGTATAATGTAAAATTATTGGTAAGAAATCTTAGTGGTTGAAGACCAGAAGAAAAGAAATGATCTAAGATCCAGATGTAGTATCAACTAAGCGCCTTTTCTAGGTTTCTTTTCAACCTCATCTGTTAGTATTATGATCACAGCTACGATTTTTATTGTATTAAGACATAATTTTGCATGCTAACTAAAACATATAATTTTTTCGAAAATTGAAAATTTGATGGAGATTTTATGTAAAATGCTATCTATTATGTTTCCATATCCATTTAGTTCAAAACTAATTGAAACGTTTTAAACTACCTGTATTTCTCTTTACCAATACTGGACTTGGTAAACCAGTCTGGATCATTTAAACACCTAACATCGACGTATCTGAATTCGCATTAAAAAATCATGGCTATCTATATCAATTGCAGCAACAGTAAAGGGCAATATGGTACTTTGATGTGGATGAAAAAGACGTCTTTCTAAAGGTACGATATCAATGTGATGGATTTTTAATTAAAATTAAAAGATTTGTTAATTAAACTTTTGAAGTGTAGTGATAATATACATGTAGGCAATAAAACATTTAAATATTCTAATTCCAATAGAGGCATTATGAAGATGTTAACAAGCGTATGATCGAAAAAATAGGTTCTGGCAGACAATTACTGTTATTGTTACTTATACTCCCCTAGTCTGACAGTAACATCAGCTCAAGCCCAAGAAATCCCTCATGGCAAGAAGCGCGAAATACGCCTGTTGTTGGCAACAGCCCTTAGCACCTTACAGGTGTCAATGCGATACAGGTCAATTCCGCCCCCAATTTTGATGAAGAGCATCGCGGGAGGACGGGTCAGAGAGTCTCCCACCACTCTCCTCTTCCACCAAACCACATGAGAAGACTCAGCCCGTCGTATATTCAGAGTACAGCCATGCCGACCAACATTATACATTTACAAACATGCATGCCCTCTCCGAAATTCGAACCTAGGCCCTTTGAGACGGCAGTCAGCGACGCTAACCTCTATACCGGTCTGGCGACTTATTACTGTTGTTATGTCAATATTTTCTAACCAATGGGCAGACAGAGAACCGTGACTGTGACGGAAACTTCTTGAAAATCCATTTTTTTTGCAGCCATCAAGGAAAAAAAAAAGACTGGATTTGCATAAGAAGCAGTGGATTTAGCTTCAGGTTAATTACCTGGCGCATGTTGCTGCTACGGTGTTAACAGCAAAACCTGAAATCGTTAGAGCATCACTAGAACACTTTCCATATAGAGGAGGGATTTCTGCACATTGTCTATATTAAAAAAAAAACCGTTGAAGGAAGTCCTCTTCTCAGGCGAAAGGAAATGTCACATTCTCAGTGCTAAAACGACTATTGGAAAACAACCTATTTCTTTCGAACCATTCTTGAAAAGATGTAAACAATGCAAATCGGATTGAAGGATGTTGGTTTACTTTAGTTTATTTGATTATGGCAAAGCATACGAGGATTACTTGCCTAAGGAAAGAGGTGGTGGAGGACTTCTGGCTCATATCCACATTACACAAGAAGTAAACCACGAAAACACCCATGTAACCCACTCATTAGTCTGGAATCGAGCCTAAGTTAAACAAGCAACGATGAGCGACTTTAGTACTTGGCTTTTGGTGAGCTGACTCTATGTTCGAAAGCAAAAATGTGGTGCACATAAAGCTATCAGATTATCTTTTAAAAAAATCACCTATAAAACTTTTCAGTCGGGTTCGACTTTTAAAATCTACATCTAGCATCTACCGAATATGATGATTTTTCTTTTAAACGGACTTGCTATTTCATCTCTTTTTGAATGAATTCTGTTGTTTACCTGTCGGTAATTCACATCAGAAGTCTTTGAATTTAGATATCTTACTTAGAAATAGCATTAAAAAGGGGGAGAAGAAACAGATTTTTATCTTGAATGCTACGGGCTGAATGTGAAAGAATTAAAGAAACAGAAGTAAGAAGAACGCAGCATGCAGTAGGTAAGGATACGGATTTTGCATATGGGAATCCTCTGACGTCTAAGCGCTAAATTATCCAATTTTTCGATTTAAAAGTTTCACTATTTGTTGCTACAATACGTAAATCGATAATATTAGGCTTTAGGCAAATAAACATATAATTGAAGCACAGGCAGCAAACCGATTTGAACTAAATATTAATGTAGAATTCAAAAGTATAGTGACTCTGATTTTGGGAATAAAAGATAGAGGTCTGTGTCATTTCCAGACTTGATCTAACACTGGTAGTTGGTAAAAGGTAAACTTCATCTCTTTACCGCATTTTATATTTCTTGCGCATATGTTATGTGTGTGTGCTCGATGCTTCCATAAGCTACATTTATAAAGTTTTCTTAAAGCATTGTAATGCGTAAATACAGTGCTAAATTATTGAAAGGTTTGCTTTCACCCAGAATTTGGAGTAATAATTTTTTTTACAATTCTAAATATTAACAAAACCAGATCTATAAGATGTCTGCAGAATATTCGGATAATGAAACGTGATAATTCTAAAATGTCGTACATAATCCGCAGCAGTTTGGTCAGAATATAGAGCACATGATCACTTTTATGAAAAATGCAACGTTGTTTAAATGCTTGCTACTAATTTTTGTTCAGTACAGTTGCAAAATGTAATGAAAAGTTCAGAATAAATGAATCTATCTCCGAATCATCTGCAGAAAGATACAGATTGCTATCTATCTGTTTAATGTTATCTGCTAAACACAAGGTCCGATCTATAGCGAATAAATCTCAAATATGCAGATCAATAATATGTACGGATATCATAAATAATCATGTACTGTAAACAGCCCTTTTAAATATGCTTTTAGTAAACCTGTATATATATTATATATATCACATGGCACCTCTTTTGTACTTTTCTACAGAGCATTTGATTTAAGTTCTTTTTGTTTCACTTTTGGAACTTTGTGTTTCAATTTTTTAATATTTAAATATTATTACCTGATAAGATGCTTTCAAACCAGTGATATCAGCAATATTTTCTTCTAGTGTTTTAACACCATTTACCTATCAAAAACATACATAATTTATTAATACATATTGAAGAAATTTATCATTTTTAAACACAGAGTTAAAAGCAGCGTGTTTAATGGCAGTTAATCAAATGGCGCCGATGTTGAGAGAGAAGTTTCTATTTTTTATATTTCTTTAATAAGTTAAATCATTCCCAGTTTATTCGAACAAACTGTAAGCATGTAATGTTTAAATATCCATGCATAAACATCTAATAATAATCCGCTAATATTGTTCAATAAAAATAAGTATTAAAATAGGCTACAGATCTATCGACTGACATTCTATCGACTGAATTCTATGGTGGACGACAACTCGAAAACGTGTTGCCAAAGCAGGGAAGCGAATAGACGTAAATTAATTACGAAAGTAAAAGTAAACACAGCAGTTTCTCAATAAACGTCTCTTCTATTTATAAACTTGTTTATTTCGTTTAATGCCTGTATATACATGCACCAGAGAATATGGTATTATTTAACTTTTATGTTCCATTGTTACGTCTCTGCTAAATGCTGCTATTAAAGTTATACATATTTACAGAAATGTTTGTGAACATCAGTATATTAGAATCTCTTTCTCTACATTAATAATAGGTTAGAAAATGAAGTACAGACAATTTATAATCAATTGAATTGAGTATAGGCACAATGACCAGAAATGTCCTTACCCGGTCTTTATTTTCGCAGCCGTTGGTCGTAATCATAGACTTCCAACTTTAAAAAAAGTATTTTAAATTATGCAAAGATTCATGTTTTAGCATTTTTACGTTTAAAGAAGTCAATTTTGAGGATACACACAATCTAACTTTTTATGCGTTTCTCCGGGTGGTACACTTACATTTAGGAAAATTTTGTATTCCTTATACAAAAAACACCCAAAACGTATGATTCCTTTACGAGACAAATTGATCCATATTTGATATTAAATTCGATCATATTTAGATGCCGTATTTAAATTGAAGAGGGAAATATTTACATTTGTAACGTAGCTGAAAATAAAATATCTTTTAGGGATTGTGAAAATTTAAATATTCGTTATAAAATAACTCGAAGTTTTTTTTCCCTCTTAAAATCATTTAGTAGTATTCTTTTTTTAATTTTAATTATTACACTTACCCTCAGTTTGGGTTGCAGAATTTTTCGTTACATGAATTCATTTGATTATACACACATGCCTACATACGCATATACTGCGCAGTGCCTGGAAACTGGTACCATTATCATCTGTTTGGCAGGTCTATCTTGGAAACATGAAATTGCGCAAATATGATTGATATGACTCTATGAGTTTGCGAAAATATTTTGTATAGAAAGAGCACATATATCTTTCTAAGCGATTCTGTTTAACAGCTGTGCTTAATTATCACTGTTGTTAATTATATTTATTGTATTTCCATGTACAGGTTTTCGGTGTTCCACAGAGTGTTCCGTAGCTGTTAAATTCGGTAACGTGTTAGTATTCGGAACTACTCTAATTAGCAGTCTGTTCTGAAGCATCACATCTTCCCCAGTCCTATTTCACAGTCCTCACGGTGATTGCTGACGCTCCAGTACTGCATTTCTACATCATTTCAGGTAGATTGGTTATCATTCTGTGTGAAGATGTGCTTGCCAACCGACATTAATCATATTCCTCTGGAGTTATTTTACTATCACATTTTTGTCGTAACTACTAGGTTTCACGATACACAGGTATATTTAGGAGCAGTTACATTGGTAAATGATTATATCTAAAAATCGAAATTTCTCTGCGACTTTTGAAATTTTATGAACCACGCCACCGTTTTGATGAAAACAGCTCTAGAAATTTCCATAGATTTCTATGATTTTAGAAACGTACTTACGAATGAATGCAATGAAAGGTACATTCTGCATAGAGAAAAGGGCCAGTTATATATCTTTCGTTGTATTGGGCCGATTGACGAAATTTAACTTGCGTGTTTTATGTCTCGAAAGCGCCACTTAGGATATATATTTGATTTATGTATAGCACTGTCTTAACATAGGCATTCCAAGTTTTTTTTTAAATGACATACCGAGGTTTTTTTCACATTTCCATTCTACGATTCAAATTATGCCTGAATACTAAATTTTGTAAAATTTCGTGAGATTCATGAGATTAAACCAGAATTAAAATATTTAACCTGGCGTACATTTTTCAGTCTGCGCCAAGATTACTTCCCCTGGCGAAATTCTTAAATTATAGTAACCTGTTTTCCCTTCCCTTTTTTTTTCATTGTGAACGAGAGGGGGGAAGGTGCATCGTTTATTCTTACAAATAATTTTAAGAAAGTGCGTGACCACATTTGGCGTTCTTATAGCTTATAACAAATATGCCAAATTTTAAAATGAGGCATTATATAAATTCAAGGATGCCTTCAGAAATTTTGAATAAGAAATTCTAAATTTTTGTAGGTATGACTAGAAATGCATCTACTTTTTTAAATGACAGTAAAAATTTTATAGGTTATAATTCAATTTTGTATTTGAAAAATTTTTAAAAATTACTAAAATGTATAAATTTAAAAAATAAATTAGAAAATAACTGCAAATTTATTTGGATTGAACCTGAATTTCGAACTGAGAAAGAAGGAATTAAGTAAGCTTAACAAAGAAAATGATGCTAATAAATATATACAAAAATTCAATTAACACTGACAAGTTAAAATTCTGAAAGCTAATTTTTTAAAAACTATCCGTGCGATTTCTGCAAAACTTGGCACAATTTCAGTCGTAGAATCGAAATATAGAACACGGTTGGTATGCTATTTCAGAAAAAGTCCGATTTTGTGCCAAAATACCTATAACAATGCTATATATAAATCTAACATATATCTAAGTCGAGCTTTCGAGACACTAAGAGATGCAATTTAAATTTTGTCAATCGGTCCTGTAGAACGGAAGATATAGCACAGCACCCTTCCCACCTTTTTTGGGGGGGGGCGGAATGTTACAAGTGACTTTGATATGTGTTCGTCATTGGTTTGTTTTACCAGTTTCTTAAATATTGATGTGTATCTATATATATATAGAGTCTGTGTGTTTGGTTGTCCTCTAATAACTTCGCTAAACTTTCTATAATTCTTTTCTGGGTCCTGAAAAAGGTCCACGTCCACTTTCTTTACAAAAAAAAATATAGCTAAAAAGAGAGATATTTACTAAAAACTCGGAAAACGATCATTTTCCTCCTCACTTTTCCGAGTGGCAACAGTCTCGCGAGCTGGAGATGAAAATCCGCTTTAATTCGAAAGTTGTTTCCACTGCACGCTTTCAAATCCTAGAGTTTGTTAATAAAAAGTTTCTAAGTTTTACGATGAAATAAAAATAGCATTGCCAAATATTAAATTCATTATTCCCGATTCTAAAAATTCGCAGGAGCCATTTCGACTATTTCCATCTTCGTACGGCTTTAATCTGCAGACATGCTAATTAAAAACTCTGAAAGCGCTAATTTTCGCACTGATTTTTCCGAGTGGCAACAGTCTCGCTCGTTGGAGATAAAAATGCTTTATTTCGAAAAGTGTTGCTACTACTAACTTTCAAATCGTAGAGTTTGTTAATCAAAAATTTGGAAGTTTTACAAAATCTATACATATAAAGTAGAATGTCTTTTTGTGTGTTTATTTGTTCGCGTTATTGATTTCTGATTAATTAGGATAAATTTTTTACCACATTTAATTGACTAAATATAGGTGAAATATTGGAAGGAACTTTCAGCTTTCACGACCGCTTGATTAGAAAGACGAAAATCATTGAAATCTGCGTGCCAATGTTGCTGATATAATGAGAGAGAATTAGCTTATTTTTCTATCGAAATTTTTATATCGGCTCTACATCACATCAAACTGAAAAATGTATGACTATGAATCGTAATTTTTGCATCGTTAGTAGAGAAGGATTACAGCGGCATCGTCCTCTCTATTATTAGATTCTTTACACTCAATTTAACTTAACTGGATGGACTTCCGCTTGTATGTATATATAAGCATACAGAAACTAAAAGTTATCTTACCTGTATTTGAATTTCACTGCCAGCTGTGTAGTTATTATATTGCTCTACGAAGCACTGAGTTCTATTAATGAGAGCATTTTCATCTGCCCTATCGAACCAGTTTCTTTTATTACCATCTATATCAAAGAGTCTTCCTGAAATGTTAACATAACCATTAAGAATGGTGTGGGGACACACAAAAACATCTTTCACATATCGCTTAAAAATTAATGATCGATTATTCCTATCATAAAATTATTTTTTTTTTTTACTTCGTGAGATTTTTTTTTTCAGAATTACAATAAGATCTTAGGTTAGATGGGTATTTAGACTAATCTTAGATAAAATGAAAAGAAAAGTAGAGAGGGGAAGAAATTTATGCATTTTTTCTGACACAAGATAAACACTTTTAAGAAGAACAGTTTTGCGACTTGTAAAGAAGTGCTTGTCTTGTGTATATCTTGTGTCAGAAAAATGCATAAATTCCTCCCTCTCTGTTTATCTTTTCTCTGTTTTACAAATCGCAAAACTGTTTTTCTAAAGGAAGTTAAATATTTTTATCGTTTGAAAAAAGAAGTTATCTGCATACCTCTCACGAATATATCAGTATTTGCTTTAGAAATTCGTTCATTCCCCTTTCTGAATATTTTCTTTCGCAATTATACAAGAATAAATAAAATTTTTTTAATAACTGAAAATAAAAATAAAAAAATCTAGGTTACGCATAAGAGATTTAATTAATCATTACGTTGTTTGACTGAGTCTGTTTATTTTACAACAGTATTGATAAACAGACTTTTATATTGATAAACTAGCTTTTTAGTAGCAACAGGCTAGTACTGATAAACAAACTTTTCAAACAAATATCCAGTAGTAAGTAAGTAACCCCTCAACATTACACGCTGCTATAAAACTGCAACAAAGATACTGTTATAAAACGGAGCCGCAAGTAGTAAATCGTACAGCAAGTTCGTCCTCATGTAAAAACGTACAAGCATGGTATTAATCTTGATTCTGCTTCTAGATGCATAAAATTAGAGCAAATAAGGCTCACTTTTTCTATGAACTTAAATACAAATTATGCAAAAAAAGACCAGAGTTTTTTTTTTTTTTTTTCAAATGGGAATCTCTCGCCGTTAAATGGCATTGGCTACTGTTAAGTCCGGAAGTGGTGGTGGTGGTCAGTATATTATGAAGGTACCTAATAAGTAGGCCATCGTTGCCACCGTATGAAAGGATGGAAAACTTACAACTATGTCTTCTCCGAGATTCTAGTCAGGGCGCTTCTGTCCGGCAGTTAGTGTCACTAATCACTTCTCTGCCTGCGCAGCAAAAATCCCACAATCATTGTTTTTAATCTGTAGAGATGAAATAAGGTTTCTTGCAAACCCTATCTCGTCTGTTACGTTAATTTGAATTTCAACATACGGATTAAACTGGTACCGCGATTAATGCAAGCATTTATTCATTTATCAAACTGGAAGTTGCAATTGCAGTATCATGGATGCTTAGGTACAGCCGAATCAAAATCACAGTACCGACAGAGTTGCGGGAATGATTAAAAGAATAGCAGAAGACATGCTATACATAGCCTATTTTTTAGTACTTTATATGGTCCTCAAAAGCGTCGATACAGGACTCTGTACTACGAAGTATCCTGCCAGTAAGGTGATTAATAATTGCAGGTATATAGTCACAAACCGCATCGATTATAGGATCCTCTAGGATAATTAGTGACGGTCCTTGATGCGGTTCATATGAACTGAACTCCTATAGATATTCGATCGGGAAGAGGTCCGAATGCCAGAGAAGATTGCAAGACCTGTTCACAATGAAAGCTTAGCAGGGAGATACGTGATCGTGTATTTTCTTGTTAAAATATCATAGGTATACATCCTGAAAAACTGGTTGGAATGCAGAATGTTCAATCCGAGTTATGTCCATTTCTAGACGTAAAACATTAAAAACTTTCCAATGATCGAATCTTATGCCATTTCAACCACAGAGCTATGTGCAGCGTTAGCAGTTCGGTTAGTAAAAATTGCTCTAAGGTAGCTCTTTCACAGATATCTCTACACACGATGGCCATTTTTCTGTCCCAAACAGAAGTATGATCCGTCTTTGAACAATTCCCGCTTGCTATATATATACCACGCAGTCATGCCATGACTGCGTGAGTACGCCATGCCTGCAGCACTGGGTCGAGCGATTTGATTATTGAGGGCCATGCGTTTGATTATTGAGGGCCATTGCATCAAATAAGGCGTGCAGCCTTATTTGATGCAAGTATTGGGAGTGATTTGGATGGACACAGAAGCATTTGCGGAAAGAAGCAGCCAGCTTCGGGAATCACTTTCTCTTGCTAACATTCTATTCACCATATTTTCTGGAATAGGCCTTATAAAGCAGCTCTGATCTGTACCTCCCGTTCCTTTTCTAAAATATTATTGCTTCTATTATGCAATCAGTTATTGGAGGGCACTTACACCAAACCCATATACTTGGCAAAAGGGTCCGATAATAACTAAGGTTCATGAAACTCAAGAATCAGGTCTCTTTCCTCAGTCGTAAACTAGCTCTATATGGCACACCGGTATCCAGAAGGCATTGTCTATGCTACTTAGAAAATTCCATTGAGACTGAGACTGATCTAACTGTAATGTTACATAAATGACGAGTAAATCTGCATTTTTTAAGCCCACAACCAGGTGCTACAGAAATCTTAAATTATATACAACATTAATATTTTGCGTAACCTCCAAAGCGACTGTAATTTTCATGCAAGTAACATGCAGTCTTTATGGTATAACTTCAGTTTTAAAGAAAATTCTATGAATAGCATTATGGTTTTGAAACAGAAATGGGCAAAGAAGAACCAAAAGACATACTATTGGCTATAATATTGCAACATCAACAAGGACAACGGATAGCAGAACTAAGTTTATTTTACATATTTCTTACATTACAAAGGAAGTACCATTAATACTCTAGGTACGTTGGACAAACAGAATGCGCTATGTTCAATACCGAAGTGGCTAAAGTAAGAAATAATAACTACTTCCATAATGTGACAAAGAAAGATGAAGAGACTTCGGCGGGTATTTTGAAGTACTGGGGTAACTGTTTACTAGAGTGATCTCTTTTAGCTGCTAGTAGTCTTAAAAGTAGCACTTATACACGGTGTTCGCAAAAGACCTTTATTCTCGGAACAATTGATAGTAAACATATACTTCCAGTTACAAAAATGTTTTTAGTAAAGTAGAGATTAAAGTATTTGTATTTTTAAATTTAAAAAAAATTGTAGAAAGTATGAAATTTAATGTTTTAAACGTTTCGCAAGACTCCGTACTAAGTAATTACTAGTAAGTTTTCTAAATATAAATTTAGAAAAACTTTAATACTCGACATAAAAAAAAAAAAAAAAAAAAAAAAAAAAAAAAAAAAAAAAAAAAAACCCAAAAGTTTTATTTTTGTAATAAATCTTTCATGTTTTTATTTTTTATATCGAGTAAGAAGAAATTTGATCGTTTGAAATGTGACGAAATTCCATAATCCCAAATTTTTGTGCAGCTGCTAAGGGAAAATTATTTTCGTTTGAAAAGACAATTCTCCTTTGCCAGATAAACAGTGATTTAAATATAAATTTTACATTTTGTTTCTATCGTAAAAATTGCTTAACATTTCTCTTTCATTTTTATAATTTTGCGTATGTTCAAGTACACTTTAATATCATTATTCATGGTTACTATTCATCAGCCCCATTTGATTTTTATATTTCATACTTCTATAAAAATTGAGCTGCATATTAATTTAATTCACTTTACCTTAAGTTACAAAAATACTGAAATATTGTTCCTAGGAGGAAATATATTCTGATATTAAAAATATATGTATTAAATGTATATATGTCATGGTTTAATGCGTAGAAGAAGGAACCCCGTACTTTAATTTCTGGCCTCCGAAGACACTTTATTGCGTAGTTAGAAGGATGAATGCATAAAGCAAAAACCTCCAGGCATGGCCGTTTCGAAACATAATTTGATTCCAGGATAATTCACATCAGATCATCTTCCTGTAGGTAAGATATTTTTCAATCATAGTTGAATGCAATAATTTCCATTACACGGATTTTACTACATCATCCCAGGCATGTAAACAGCAGCGTGGATGAGGAGCGTCTTGTCAGGAGGAAAGCGTAAGCGAAAAGGTCATAGCGATCCAAAGGAAGAATGGAAGGAATTAAAAAGTTTTGGTTTACAATTTGGTGATTAGTCAAGAGGTTAGTGCATTAAGCGTTACGTAGTATAGCTCGATTAATTTGAATGACGCAATTTAGACTTATAGCGCTATTTTTAAGACAGAGAGAGTAAGTCCCCAAATTAAATTTAAAAAAAAAAAAAAAGAAGTTATAGCCAATTAAGTTTTCTTTCGTATTTTTTATTTTACACGCATATATATATGTACTATATTTGATTATCCCAGAGTTTAAACGTTTTCGAAAATTGTGTTTTAAATACTTAGACATTTTAATGTAACTAATTATTTCACCTTTATACGAGAACGCATGGGCAATTTCATGGCCAATATGGGAACCAATGGATCCAAAATTTAGGTAGCTGAAAGAAATATAGCAATCAGTACCGAGCTCTGATAATGTTCAATAACTATTGCAGGTGAAGTCTTAAATGTACAGCATAAGTTAAAAGAAATGTATTAGAAATGTTAGCAATTTACCGTGGTCGATTTCTGCTGAATATAGGTTTCTCAAAAATTCCTGCAGGAAGTTCTATAAAAAACACAGTTAATGAAGAATTACTCAAATAATATGAAAAATATGATTAATCAAATAACTATTCTGCGCTTAGAATGTGAATGTGAAAAATAGCAGTTACCTTAATCAGACATCTACAATTAAAAAAAAATTGTTCTTATTGCCTCGTGAAATGAAAGGAAATTATTATAGCGACGAAAGTCATCATCTGTTTGCACTGTGAACACAAATGTTGAAGTCTCATATTTCTACAAACACGAAATTGGAGTACATGTCATTATTGAGATGAGTCTAAAGCATAGACATTCATCGGTAAATTTCATTATTCAAAGAGTTTATTCCAAATTGCCGAGGGATTACAAAACAACCATATTTACCAAGTGTTGAAAAACAAAAATTAGAAAAACACTGAAAAGATTTAATGCATTCTTCAAACTATTCTGAAACAAAATTTTACGAATCTGTGAAAACGTTTGTCAGTGGCATATCAAAGATGTGGGCAATATCTTAAGAGAATGTTTCTGAAATTGGATACGGTATTTTAGGCAATATCACATGCTTTTGTTACTAATCTCGTTTGTCTCATATAGTCAGAACAAGCCCACGAATTATTATTATCGTCTGAAGAATTACAAGATTGCATCTGCCGTTGGTCAAAGTTTTGAGCACCAGTTTTGAAGTAGAGCACTCCGGGGTATCTGAGAGTCTTCTACCACTCTTTCCCCTACAATCAAGCTCTCGAGAGGACTTTAAACCCGCCGCCATGCTGCTCAATCATTTTACATTTACAAACATCCATGTCTTCTCCAAGATTTGAACCCTTCGGCACGGCAGTCGGGGTCGCTTTTAACCATATTAAAGTTAAATATTAACTTTAGTTAATATTTAACTATTTCAGTTAAACATTAACTAAAAGTTAAATATAACCCATATTCTGTATCAGAGAATGAAGAAGTGTCCCTTCTTGCTCAGTATACTTAAAATGTTTACTTTGCGCATCTACCGAATCTAAATTGAAATTTTTGTTTGCTTATAAATATGTAAATAGCTCTTATTTAAATAGTATTTCATATTATTGTTTAAAGGCATAAACACCACCTTTTCTATTTTATTTCTGAAACTTCCCTTTCTAGAGTTTAACATAAAGGTTCTGCATAATTATACCTAAATATTAATTACGTATAACTGAAATACAAGTAACAGCAGAGCGCCGGAGGCCGGCTCCCTTTCTAGAGTTTAACATAAAGGTTCTGCATAATTATACCTAAATATTAATTACGTATAACTGAAATACAAGTAACAGCAGAGCGCCGGTACTTCACAGTTTTCCACATAAATTATAATTTCAGCTGAAGCGCACCGAAGCCCTAAAACAAGGGCTCCGGCACTTCTTTTATGTAAGTGAACCACAATTTTAGCAGATAAATTTTGGTTTTATAGTAAACATGCCTTAAAAGTAAATTCTAACTTCTGAATGCACGCCTGTCTTTCCCTCGCACTCAAGCCTTGCACAGAAGTTGAGACTGCTGTGACTTGTAGAGGGAAGTTTTATGCTTATTCTCACACCTTATTTAGGAAACGTATTTAGTAAAAAATTTTACTTGATGGCTAGAATGATATCGACAGGGCATCGCGATCAGAAGGTCTTGAAATCTTCCCTCTTTATTTACAAAGCTATACTTTTCCGTTAAATTTCTTTCTATATCCTCATACTGTTTCTAGAATTCTCAATATTCTCATTAGTGGAGCTTTAGTCGTTTTACCTTTTTATCTTTGCAAAAAAAGAGTGGTACCTGTCATCCCTTGAAATAGTACATTATACGACTAATCAGGGCATAAACTCAGATGGAGATCGGCTGAGTTGCTTAACATCTAAGTGGAATTGTAATTCCAGCCGAAGCGCCAAATAAGACAAGGTTGGATACTTTTTTTTTTCTATTTAACTATTTAAAATTAATTTAATAATTTAGATTTCTCTTTATCTCTTAACCTTTTCCTTAATTTAAATTTATTATTTTATTTAATTGATTAAATTTAATTAATTAATTAATTCTTAATTAAATTAATATTAATTAAATTTAAATTTTAAATTAAATTAATTAAGTTAAAATTAAATTAATTAATTTAAATTTATTATTTGATTATTTAATTTAAACTATTTTATTTATTTATTATTTTTTTCCTTTCCTTCTTCACAGTCCTTTCCACGGGGCTCCGGCACTTCTAATTTTAGAAATTAAGCCCTGAGTAAGAGCACTCAAATTCCCAGCTGTCAAACTCGCGTGTACGCTCTATCAAAGCTAACTCAATTGCATCATCAGCGTTTAATTATCAAATTAATAAAAAAAAATAATGCTACAAGAGCCGTGAGCAGATCACTTTCTTCGCGTTTTAAAATCTAAACCTATTATTTATGTCCATTCACTCTTAATTTGCTACTTTATGTTTTGCCATCATTTCGTTTTAATTTTATCTTGGGCAAATTTAGTCAACAAGAGAATAGCGTAAATATTTTATCATATTCTCTATTTCTTTAATTGCTGTATATTTTTGCTTTTCTGAAAGCTTAAATATTAAATGAAATTCCTTGATTACAAATTAAACATAGGTAACCACTTAATTAAAACTATTCATTTTTCCGGGAAAGGAACATATGAAGACATATATATACATGCTCTCGCCGGAATTCAAAAAAGGATCTTCCAGTAGCCATGCGTACGTGCTAGCAGTTATACCACGAGACCACGCGCGGGAGAAAAAGATTATTCTGCATAAAGCAGATCTTAATTTAAATCCGGATATTGAAAAATTTTTTACTTAGGGAAAATTATTTAATGTGTGGATTTACATGATTACTTGAACGTTAAATTGAAGATGTGCTTATATGCGAAGTTCTTGATGATTGTGCTTCAACTGATTTAAATTATATATCTTACAATGAATTTTACTTTAATTCGAGAAATGGCAATGTAAAGGAATTTATTTTATAATTGAAAATTTTGAAGATAAAATTGCAAACTACTGCTTGGAGAAGGAAATTAAACTCTCAGATTCCCGATTTATAGCACAAAGAACATTAAATCAGATAGTAAGACGTTCTTGAGGAAATAAAAGTTTTACCTTTTTATAAATTCGTGCACAGATGCGGAAAAAATCAGCATTTTTTTTTAAAGATTCGGAAAGAATACAATGTTTTCAACTGCAAATAACATCATTAAGGATCGCAGATCAATATATGTTTTGCAGGACCATTGACTACACACCGCCACATTTAGATATTTTATTTAAATGTATGAATCAATATTTAAAATATAATGTTGCTCCATGCACTACAAATAAATCGAAACTTTGGACCCAGAAATGAAAAATCTGCAAATACAAAGAACCTGAAAAGGGGATGTAGAGTTAAATTAAGAAGAGTATATTATTGAATTATTATTAATTATTGCTTGAGCCAGTACCGATTCTAGACCGTCGGTACTTGCTGGAGCAATAATCAAAGTGCAAAATAAAATTGACTGCCCTTTTTTTTGCAGAAATATAATATGTTTGATTTCACCGCCTTTAAATCAGACCGTCCACGTCACATAAAACCAACCATCTTGCCCTCAGATAAGGTCGGACCTGGCTCCGGCCTCTGCAGCATTTAATGCATTGTGAGCATTGTGTGCATTGTAAGCATTTAATGCATTGTATTAAGCATTGTGAGAGGACTCTCACAATGCTTAATAAAACCGTAAAAGTGACACGTCTGACACTTTTGTTAAATGCTGTGCGATAGTTTAGCCAGAAGAGGCCGTTGCTCACTCTTAAGAAATAAAGCCAATGGATCCATCACATGGTAATGTGGTAAGCAAAATTCTTCCAGAGGAAACGTGAATGAAAGACGAAAAAGGGGTCATTTCCTCAAACATCGTTTCGCTTAAATACACAATTCTGTACGATTTAATGCAGTCTGTGTTTTTTCATGCACAGTCAATGTCAGTAGACACAAAGGTTATGCTCATTCAAGACCAAACCTTTCTTTTTCTCACACTCGAGACGATGACGCCACCGCATCACAGATCTCAATGAAAGCAATTTCGTTCCCTGATTGGAGAACCACATACGCAACACATTCCTACCGCAGAGATAGGAATGGGGCTTTACGAGTCAAGGACTTCCAAGTCATCACGCTCTTTGACCTCGGTCATGTAAAGCAAAGTTGAAATAGAGTAAATCTGAACAAGGGGGCAAAATTTTACGGGGTGACAGAAAGCAGCTATACAAGCAATATTCGTCATAGAACGTGTGGTCGGAACGCAAAAGGTGAGAAATTAAGAGCTAATTTTTCACTCACACAGTTAAAGAATTAACACAAGAATGAGAAGAGATACTTTACAAAACAGATTTTATGAACAGGAATGTAATTGATGTACATGTTCTAAGAAATTGTTCAAAAGACCTTCCACGAGCTGTAATGCAGTCTTGCGCGATAGGGAATGATGTACGTTTGCGAAGACACCAGGCATTTTCCGAGTATCGCCGGCAACAACGGCTAACCTGGCGACTAGATCCATATTCGCTTCAATGGGGCATTCATAGATTAGGCTTTATGTCCCCACAGAAAAATGTCCAAACACAAGCGACCCGATGATTTCGGTGGCCAAGCTATGGGACCATCTCGACTAATCCATCGCCCTGGAAATTTCGTGGTTCGTATAACCAGCCGGCAATTTACGGTGGAAAATGCCGATGGGGTCGAGGAACGACTCTTTTTATGCCATTTACAATGCCACCTAGCAGGTCGCCGTTTGCGTTTCGCACAGACTTTTTTATAACGAATATTGCTTTGTATAGCTGCATTCTATCACCCCGTAGAGTTTTGTATGTATAGTAACCTTCAAGTGAAGATGTAGAACATATCACACGGCATTAGTAGAGATCCATAAATGAGATGGCCAACTGTAAAGAACAAATGAAGTATTACCTCGGAAGAGAAAAATGCACCTGAACGGAAATATCTTGCGAATGAAACAAAATCTCCAAAAATTAGGGTCCATAAATGTCGAAAGTTGTAGTAAATTCACAGGAAGGAGATTGTAATGTAGACGACAAACATAACATCTTAAATTTTGTATAAAAAAAAAAATTTCTCCTATCGTCGATCAGTCGATCATTTTGAAAATAAATGTAACTAATGAAAATAAATAAAATATATGAGTATATGTAAAGTCTTTTGTTTGTTTTATTTGTTCCATAACAACCTCACACGTCCGTTAATAATCCTGCGCATTTATCACAACCGGCTCTTTGAACTAAAAGAGAGCATAGTATCGAATTTTTCACTCTAATGAAACTCAGCACACGAGTTTAAATTTCTTAATTTCTATAATTCAGTTATGAATTGCTATTACAACTGACAGGATTTAAATAAAAGAAAATTTTTGGATCAAAACAAATGTTTTAAGAAATTAATACATATTTTAATTAATTAATTAATTAGTTCATTAAATTAATTAATTAATTAAATTAATTAGTTATTTCATTAAATTAATTAATTAATTAAAATGTTTTAGGGAAAATGTATTTAATAGTAGAACGATTTGCAAAAACAATGCGTTCAAATATCATCCATTCCTATTCACAGCCATTTTGAGGGGTAATTTTTTTTAAAGTTGGGTGTTCTTGTTCTATGCTGGAAACTCCAGACATTTTTTACTATTCTGCATTATTAATTTTCATTCAGAAGTGCTGAATTTTTATTTAATTATTTTTTTACTGCAGGCGCAAAATAAAGTCAGTGGTTTTCTTTTAAGAATCATATTTGTAGAAAAGGGAAAAAAAAAGCATTCAATTCACCAATAACATTGTCCTGGATGTTGTAAGTGCCGTGTGTAACTGTTGACCTCGAGTATTTTTTCCAGCTGAAAATAAAGATACATTGATTTAAATTAAGATTTTTGAGTTTTCAACGAGTCTTCTAGTGCAATAAAATAGATTTTTAACTTATTGACTAAAAATATAAAATTGGGTGTAAAACATTTCATGCTGCATAACATACGAAATAGAAAACTAATTAGTAGTGTAATATACCGTTGTGAAACGTAAAATTATAAGTTGCACTTATAATGCATTAAGCATTATAAGTGTTTAATTTTATAAACGCAAATGTGTAAATTTCTTCGAATTGCAGAAGAACGGCGTCACTCAGCGCCGCCAGATTTTGAGCACACGAAGTCCTCCACACAAACAAGCGCAACTTGAAACTCGAATAGAGAATTTTCAATGTGTTTCTTATGTGATAAGGTCGCATAGAGGTTCTTTCTCTAGGACGAATGATTTCAGAATGCAATAGTACATTTTTCAGTACAAAGGTGAAATTCTGTTTCAATGAGGTGCCTTTGTTAATGAATGGGGTTGTAGCCTCGAAGGTCACTCCAAGGGACAAAGAGATAAAAGTCTTTTCATCAGGGTCAGAATATGGACACCTTTGTTATGTACGAGTGAAGGAATATCTTCCCCCCTCTCGGGAGTTCAGCGCAGGTTACGACACAAGAAGATATAAAAGGTTTTTCCTGAGAAGAGCGAGAACTTTTTCTGCTGGAGCTATGGGCATATTGCCCTGCTAGAACTATCACTCTTCGTGTATTATGTTAGAAGCCATAGCGCATTCTTCCTGTTAACAAATATCTGAAATTGCGGGACTGAATGTATCAAAGTCCCACATTATCATGAAGTGCGCATGTTAATGTTTTTGTCTTATTAAGATTCATGTTATTGTTATAACTTGAGTTACAAGCTCATTTCAACCCTGTATTTAGAACCTGGGGTTTATGTAACGGTTTCGGCCACTACACCACACTTAATTATTACAGAGGCTGTTCGCCATTTTTTAGACAATTTTGGTAAGCAGTAATAAAAAATCGTTTGCTGCAAAAGGAGTATTTGCAATTGTACTATGTTTTTAAAAGTCAAACATAACCTTGAAGTTTTGGTTTTATTCAATGGCAACTTAAAGCAGTGGTTTGAAGGTTACATTTACGCTCTTCCGAGAGAAATATGCATCTCGTTATCCAAAAAGGGAGAGTCATGGTTTTGTGATATCTAAAGCGTCGAGGTAATATCATCACCAGAAGGGGGAAAAAAAAACAAAAAAACCAAACAAAAAAAAAAAAAAAAAAAAAAAAAAAAAAAAAAAAAAAAAAAAAAAAAAAAAAAAAAAAAAAAAAAAAAAAAAAAAAAAAAAAAAAAAAAAAAAAAAAAAAAAAAAAAAAAAAAAAAAAAAAAAAAAAAAAAAAAAAAAAGAAAAAAAAAAAAAAAAAAAAAAAAAAAAAAAAAAAAAAAAAAAAAAAAAAAAAAAAAAAAGCTTAAGTGGGAGAAAAATTCCAAACAGTATCCAAGTAAAAAACGGACATCTTCGACTATTCAAAGGTACGTTGTTTTAATGTAAAAAGAAAAACCCCCAGTCAAGGACAGTTACAAAATTATTAAAAATGCTCGGTGTCCCCTGTAAACAAAATGATAAACGTTGATTCATCTTAAGAAAGCGAAAAACTCAATGTGCATCGGTCTTCCAAAGCATATCGCTCAACGCAAGAACGCTGAGGTTTCTATATGAGAAACACTTATCAAAAAAAATGGAAAAGGAATTGTCATAATAGATGACCATGTGTATTTAAATGACTGTAACAAAAAAGAGCCATTTATTATAATAAAAGGGGAGAAAAAAATTTAAGTACATGGTTCAAAGAATCTAAGAAAAGTTTTTCTAAGGATTCATGATTGTTGCTGGTTTTTCTTTATAATGGGAAAAATAGAGATTGCAAAACATGTTAAGATACTTCAAATACAATCAGGAACATATTTTTCTCCAATTTTTCTGAATGAAATACCATCACTTTACCCACATGCCATCAATCTGTGAGACTCCATCAGGACAAAGCTAGCATCACACATCAAATTCACTGTAAATTTCTAAAAGAAATGAAACAAAAACTGGTATCAAGACCATACCCTTCACTGATATCCCTACTAAATCTCCCGATGTGCACCTCTGGAATTTGTGCTTTCGGAATTTTAAAAACTGCATTATCCAATCGTTGTCCCAAAACCCTAACAAGACTCTGGAAAGCTGTTCGGGAGGAATGGGATAGAATACCTCTTCTGCCACTTCAAAGGCATTATTATACTGGAAATTTCGGTGTTGAAAGATAGTTCAGAATAAGAGATGTCAAATAGAACATTTAAAACACAAGAATTTTATGTAATTTAGTTTTGTGAATACAATATACATCGTCTAAAAAATGTGTGAACAACCTCTGTATATGCTTTGTGCTATTTAATGAAATTTTGATTAAAAAACTCAGTGCAAAGCTCATTATGCATCCAATTCTTCATTTATTTCATATTTGTGGAATTTCATTTTTAGGCAAAGTATGAAATATGAGAAATATTATATACTTTTACCTAGGCTTTACGTATACTTTTATCTAGGCATTCAACAGAATGATAAATGCTCTTTAGGCAAAGTGTGAAAAAAACGTCTTATAAAGACTGTTATTTAACAGATGTCCATTCCTCAAAAATACAAACGTTATCTTGAAAAAAATTAATGAAAGTCTGCCATTAAAAAAATTTTACTCAAAATGCGTATAAAAAACTAGTGATATGATCTTGGTACGCAATAATATTTGTATTCTTTCTATGGTTGAGAAAATGGAAATCACTATGACAACGGGAATAGAATACAGGGAAAAGTCACAGGTTTCACAACAATGCCCTTTTTAATACCTTTTTTTTTTTCCTTAGCAGAATTCACATAGGTTGGTGTGCAGTTCAATATATCACTCCATGTAACGTTTTTGTATTTGGTTGAAAGTTCTTTCAACATTCTATCACGTGCTCTCTGTTCAATAACCGAATGAGTCTCATGAAGTACGTGAAATAATTCACTGTCCATGACGTAATACTGTATAATACTGATGTCTTGTTAAAATAGGATAAATGAATTTACTTTTGTTTTCTACAAACATCACATCATAGGATTTCCGATTATTCGAAACAAACCGGAAATGTATTCCATAATTTGCTGGTTTGTCTAGGGAATGTATAGAGCCAGGGTTCGATCCCCAGGCTGGACAAGGTTCACTTAGCCTTTCATCTCTGGAGTGGGTTGATAAAATGAGCACCAAGTTCGCTTGGGGAACTAAACACCTGCGACAAGCTGCCCAGGCAAAGATGCACAAGCACCCCGGAGCCCACGGTCTAGGAAGCAGATGTCAGGGCACTGCCGCCCATGGCTCTCTAAAGACTGCTTGTGCCCCTAAGCGTAGAGTTTTAGGCAATGTATGAAACGTTTAATCTTTTCATTTATTGTTGGCCCGTTTTCGGCACTCTATAAAATGCTGGAATGCCCAGATTCATTCTTTGCCAGATAAAATAAAATGAAGTTGATTTATTCAGTTTTGATAAATAAATTGCTTAAACAGAAGAAGGGAAACTATTTATAGCGTTTATAATTTAGAACTAATGAATGAACAAAAATATCTATGCGATGTTCACACAGGATAAGCAAAGCATTTGTCCTTTACAAATGTAATATCAAGAAGTCTAAAGTTTGCGAATAGGAAATTTTTGGTAAGGATTTCGATTATAAAAGTCTCCTTTACTGTAAACGTTTGTATTGCTGAATTTAAACAAGGTAATCAATCAAATAAAAGCAAGATTTAAAAGAGTTAAAATACAACATACTCTCCTCTTTTGTTAGGTTTCCTAAGTTGAGAGTAGGAGTAATCAGTTGCCCATTTAAGCACTTTCAATGAGTTTTTATAATAATGAATTATATTAATTTTCAGCTAGAAAAAGAAAAAAAATACATTCAAAGACATCTTAAATTGTGCAGGTAAATGTTTATAAAAAATACAGGAATAAATGATAAGATACTAACGTCCTTGTACACATCAGAGACTAAAGAATCGTTCAAAAGCTCTTTCGGATAGACAGTATGTGATGTGATAGATCTAACCTAAAGGATAACAAAGACCAATAAATTATTAAAAAATGCAGTATGCCTCTTACTACATCAACTGCACAATGACAGCGTTCACTTTCACAACGTCAGTTAATATCCGAATGTTAAAATACTCAATGCCACAGAAATTGTCTGCTGCAGTATATTACCACAATACAAATCTTAATCTTCTATTTTACACGTTTTTCAAAATTTCTACATAAAATTCTTAATTATGTTTGAATAATTAAGAAGATGAATAGTAATTATTAAATTCCTTTTTTTTTCTTAAAGTAGAATATTTATGGTTGAATAATAAGGTATTTTCTTCCTCCTTTCTGCATGCCTTCGTGGTGTAACGGTAGCACACTCGGCGCGTAGTCGAGAGGTCCTGGTTCGAGTTCCGGCGAGGACATTGCTGATTTTTCACGTTTCTTGCATTAAAAAATCCCTAATGACTATGCAGTGGCGCTGGAA